TTTTTTTTTTTTTTTTTGTCCACATGTTTTTTTATTTTTTTTTATTGGTAAATTGCTCCTTTGTTGTTGCATATTGCTGCTTTAGGAATATTCAGAAATTAATTGTATTGTTTGATGTTATAAAATTTTGAAGGCCTAAAAAGTAAAATTAATTGGATGATTTTTAGCGTATGTCACCACTGTGACACGCAAGTGCCATTTTAGCTTGAAAATTTACCAACTTTGTCAAATTTTGAATTATTTACGTAAACCACATTCGAGATTTGACGATAATTATATTAGGCTTCATAGTGTTACTTGTTATTGAATTAAAATTATATATATTAATCTCATAAATTTAATAATTAGTAAATTATAACAGTTCACGGCGTCATTCATTAAGGGAAATGCTACGGTCTCGTTATGGAATCATTCTATCGGGGTTCGTAGTTAGATCAATTATCCTCGACGGTTACATGATAATCTAACGGTTACAAATCTCGACGAAATGATTCCATAACGAAACCGCAATATTTCTCTAAAACTAAATTAAAAGTAAAACATGAATTTAATATAGTGAGGTAAAGTAGTCTACCACATGACCCAAGAGCCCTTGGATGAGATGACTTGGGTCTCCAGCTTAACCAGTGGTCTCGTGTTCGAGCCCTGGGAATGCAGCAGTGTTAAAAACTCTTGAGGGAGAGCTATGCCGACCTTGTGGTCCTACCCGGCTCGATTCCGAATTAGTCGGTTCCCCTGTGGATCCAGAAACGGGAAGGTGCCTGTACCAAAAAAAAAAAAAAAAGTAGTCTACCACATGATCTAACAATTGTGACTATGTGCTCAATATTTATTTAATTTGGTGAATAAATAATTGACCGAACCATGTTAAATAAAATATTTTTAAATTTTTTTAAGCAAAATGGGCCAAAAAGTACGGAACAATTCGAGTTCGATTCACTCAAATTCATTCATTTTAGTTTAATTAAAGGTGTAACCAAGTCAAATTGAACTAAATTTAAGTCAATAATCAATAATTAAGCTTGACTTCAATTAGTTTATTAATATTAATGTCTAATTTTAACAAGTGTAGTTATATAAAAATTAGTATTATTTTTGTTTCTTAACGAGACGCGTTGATTAAATAAGCTCGACTTATTTACCAAATGAATTGAACTGAGTCGAGTCTTAACCTGACGAACAGAACTCACGAGGCGGGTTCGTTGTTTTTACCAACTTTAGCTTTGATCCTTTAATATGCATATCAATGAGGGTAAAAGTATAATTGAAGTAACAAATTGGATAGACCTAAAGCTGAATTGTCATACTTTTAATAAATTACATTAAATTAAAATATCATACTTTAACAATAATATACAAAAATATAATACTTTATTATAATATAAATATATACTTTTACAATAAAGTGATAAACCAGACACGATAATTTTTTTTTTTTGGTACAGGAACTTTTCGGTTTTCGAATCCACAGGGAACCGACTAATTCGGAATCGAGCCGGGTAGGACCACAAAGGCGGCAAAACTCTCCCTCAAGAGTTTTAACACTACTGCATTCTCAGAGCTCAAACACGAGACTACTGGTTAAGCTGGAAAGAGACCCAAGCCATCTCATCCAAACGTTCTTGAGTGACACGATAATTTATTTTGAACTAAAGCCAACATCACTCAAAGAGTCAAAGTCAATAAACGCGAGTGGAATAGTCTGAAGAGGAGGCCTAATTTGGGCTTTTCCGTCATTTGACCGCTCAGTTTCAATATTCAATAATTTTGGCAGTGACGTACGGAATTGTCCTTTTATGCTAAAAATTGACAAGTGGCCAAAAAAACCAAAAAAACCATATACCAAAAAGACCATATATTAAAAAACCATTATATTATAAATCAAAATGCACAAATGTGCGAATACACAGCAGCCAACAGTTGAAAAAGTGGGAAGACAGGTCAGAAGACCGCCTAGAATCCCGGCTACCAATGCTAGAATAAAAACTCACAACTAAACTACCAACAAACACAACAAAACACAACTAAAAAGAACCAAAAAAAAAAAAAAAAA